TAATCAAAGTTCTACCATTAATTAGCTATGTGACTTAGATATTTTTTAAAAAATTTCTTTGAATCTTAGTTTCCTGGTCTGAGGATTATTAGGTATACATAAAGAGCTTAGCACAGAGTATCTTCTCAGAAAAGAAAAGTGGCTTCCCTTAATTAGATAGAGAATAGTGTTTTTCATTTCTCAAGCTCTTGAAGAGAGCTGAGAGAGCAGATGTAGGAACATTACAATTGCCTTCTTTTTCTTCAGTGTCGCAGTCTGTTCTGCAGGTCCTTTTTGTTTCACTCATATACTATATCCGTATTAGCGCTGAGGGTATTTCTTCTATATTGTTCCAGTTTTTTAGGTGCTATCTCATATTAATGTTCCCCACCAAGAAAATATCTGGATCTTTCTGGATGTGATTGCAGTTGTGAGGTTTGGAAAATTTTATGGGTTTCAGAGGCATGCTTTCTATCATGAAAGCCAAAGTCTTTGTTTCATTTACAAGAAACTTCCAATTACTTCCTCATTTTGAAACTCTCTGATCACTTGACTTCTATAACATTGCAGTATTCTCATTCTCCATGTGTTTCTGTAAATATTCCTTTCCCTTCCCACACTTCTTCCTCCTCCCTCTTTGACTTACCATCTTCTGGTCAACCTTTAAACTTTGGTGTCTGACTGGGGTCCACTTTGGCCCTTTACTCTTCCTGCCTGCATACTCCATGGGAGACCACATTCACTGCCATGACTTCAGCAAACATCTCTGGCTGATAGTCTCAAATCTGTACATCTCTAGCCAATAGCATTCCTGTGAACATCTGATCATATATTTATCAAATGGACATCTGTGCCCACTTAACACGTAAACTCATTTCTCTACCAGTCTCATTTCCCTTTTTCCATTCCCTGTATCTTTACTTGGTTCCACTACTAATACCATTTTCTGGTAACTCATCTTAAATATCTTCTTTCCCATCGTGCACATTCAATCAAAAACAGAATTCTGCCAATTTGATTTATTAATATTTATCAATTATTCTTGAATCCACATTTTCTATCCATTTTTGCCTTCCCTACCCAAGTCAGACCTTTTAATATTTTTTTCTAGATTGTACAGCAGCTCTTTCCTCGGATTTCAATTGTGTCTTTCTTCAATCCAGCCAGAGTTTTGGCCATGCCATTCTCTTACATTCTTCAGTGTTTCTCCCCCTGTTAGGAGGAAGTCTTCACTCCATAGCATACTAACCAAAAGCATCCTTGATCCAGCCTTTCTCCAACCCATCTGCTTCTCTAGGGACAACTCTTATCTCTTGCTACATCTGACTGCATAGTTACGTTTTATTATCACAGAACTGCATCCCGTTCTCCTTGCATGTGCATGCACCTAAGCAGAGAAGTGCACACACACACACACACACACCCCACCATCACTACCACCATCACCACCACCATCACCACCA